TTATTCACCTTACATCCCAATTTTAGCTCCCTTCCTCATCCCCTCCTGGTCCCACCCTCCATCCCTTTTCCTCTCTATCTCTGTCCTCTAGTCCTCAGAAAGAGGGAGATCTCCTCCCTTACAATCTGATCCCAGACTATCAAGTCTCATTAGTACTGCCTGGGTCCTCTTCCTCTGTGGCCTGGTAAGGCCCCCACGAGGAGGAAGTAATCAAAGAGCAGGCAACAGAGCAGATTTATTCATAATATCCAGAATCTGGAAACAACCTAGATGCCCCACAACTGAGGAATGGATACAGAAATTGTGGTACATTTACACAATGGAATACTACTCAGCTATTAAACACAAGGAAATCATGAAATTTGCAGGGAAATGGATGGATCTACAAAAGATCATCCCGAGTGAGGTAACCCAGAACCAGAAAGACACACATGGAATATACTCACTTGTAAGCAGATATTAGCCTTATAATACCAGGTAACCATACTGCTATCCACAGATCTAAAGAAGCTAAATAACAAGGAGTACCCTGCGTGCGGGGGGGGGGGGTAATTCTCATTCAGAAGGGCAAATAGAATAGACACCAGAAGCAATTGAAGAGAGGGAACAGGATGGAAGCCTACCACAGATGTCCTCTGAAAGACATCCTTCCAGTTTCTTAACTCTGGAGAATTTGTCATTGTGTACTACTGATAATACTAAGTGTTCTAAAAATGTTATTCCATTAAAACAAAGTAATACTTGTTATGTTGTGATATGCAACATTCTCTGGAATATTATTCACTTCAAAAATAGTAGTTAGATCTGGGCCTGTAGATCAGTGATAGAGCATTTGCCCAGCATGTACCATAAGTTTGATCCCAAGAGCCACAAAATATAAAGCAGTGGTTGGAACAGTGAACACAATATGCGATTGTATGTGTTAAAAAAAACAATGAAACCTGATAATCTAGGGTCAGATGAAAGGGAAGGAGGTCCTCCCCAATGTGTGGACTTGGAAAGGGGCAGGGAGGAGTACAAATATATATATATATTTGTATTGTTAAAGGGGTACTTTGGAAGTGGAATAATGAGAAGGACTGAGAGGAGACATTTTGCTGTATAGCTAATTACACTTTGGAATCATGAAACATGTGGCTAGATTCCTTATTCAAAAGATCAATAGCTACTTCAAAATGACAGCGGTAGTGACATGTGTTATACTTAGAAAAACACGTTTTTAGTCTAGACAAAGCTCAGGTTCCATAATGACCCTGACACTTACTTCCCAAGGAACTCTTGGAAAGCCACTTCTCCATATACAAAATAAGGATAAAGGACTGCAAAACTCACAGGACTATTAGGAGAATTATATGACATGGATATAAAAAGGGAAGTATGATGACTAATCACAGGACTCAGTATTATTGTATTTTCCATCAGGCACTTCACCATGTAATATTTAAACATAGTCTTAATTTCAGTGCCCACTTGTAGTTTTTGTGTACAGTTCAACCAGTTACAACTGTCTTTAACTGTATTGTCATCTCTCCTCTATTTCTTCATATTATCCACATCACTGGCATAAAAAAGCATTGTCTCCCCTATGCCTCACTTACTTCCACATAACATATATATCATCATTCCTGTTTTACAAGCCTGGTGGCCCTACCCAGAAAGGAAATGAGATCGGTCTGGAATGACTTGTTCTTGAGTGCCTTTGCTTGCTTATAAGCCACACCTTGAAATATTTTAGAACATTGTGCTATCAGTCTTACCAGTGTCACCAGGACACTTTCTACAGACTAACTTCTCCCTTATCTGAAAACCGAGTTTGTGGTTTTGCCCCTTTCCTGTCTTCCAACATTCTGTCCCTATGTCACAATTCCTCTGGGCTAGCAATTAAAAAAAATTCATACAAGTATATATTGTGTATTGAATGAATCTCTCCCTATCTTTCTACCCACCCATTTCTCACCTCTCATGGCTTCCATTAGTCCCATTTGTTCCTTTGAGACAGTTCCATTTGTACATTCATTCTATATAAAAATGTAGAAACCACAAATATGAAAAATATGTGATATTTGTCTTTCTGAGACTAGGCCAGCAAGTTTGAACATATTTACAGTAGCTGGGCTCCTGTCACACTCTTTGTATTGATTCTGAGCTTTGTATATCTCTCTCTCTCTCTCTCTCTCTCTCTCTCTCTCTCTCTCATTCTTGTTTCATGTACAAGTTTCAGTCTGGTGTTTTATTTTCCTTGAAGGAATATGGAAGACAAATAGCACAGATGCTTTTGAGGTCCCAGGCTCCCATGTAAGTCTTTGTGATGTGTGTTGTGGGTTTGTAATCATCAGCTCTGCACAAATCTAGCACTTAAGAAGCATTGTGTACAATGCAGCCACTTCTGATGAGAACTGATAGACTAAGATCAGAAAGAAGGAGAGGAGGAACTCCCCTATCAGTGGACTTGAGGAGGGGCATGCATGTAGAAAGGGGGGGAGGGTGGGACCGGGAGGGGAGGAGGGAGGGGCTTATGGGGGGATACAAAATGAATAAAGTGTAATTAATAAAAGTTAAAAAAAAAGAAAAAAAGCTCATTAAAAAAGCATTGGGTTTTTATTTAAAAAAAAAAAAAAAAGCATTGTGTAATTTGGAGATGGTGTCTCCAGAGGGCAGCCCTGCCACGGCCTCTGACTTAAACTAATACTGGAAGCCCCAAGGGTGGTATGGTTTGAATAATAGTTTTTGCACTGTCATTTATCTTCATCCTCCAGTTGAATGCAAACAGGAGCCCTAACCTTTCATTGTTCCTTGACCTCCTGATGTAATGTGCTTTTGGTAAAAGTTGCCCATATCTTTGTCCCTGGGATTTGAAAACCAAATAAACTTATATGGTCCTTTTGCCTTCCAAATCCTAGGCTAACAGATCTGTGCCATGCTGTGTGGATAAAATTGTGTGGGACACCACCTATTTGTTTCATTGTGTCCCTCTAAAATCGGAGCCATGTGGAACAAGGAGTACTGGTGCACACCTGTAATCACAGCACTCAGGAGATTAAGGCAGGGAATAGTGAGTTTGAGACCAGCATGGACTATATAGCAGACTCTATCTAGAAATATAAACAAAGACATAGAATCAGTTAAAGAGTCATTCATTTTGTTACCGGTAAAGTATCTTTTATGATATAACCACTCTATAAACTTGTATGCTCAGTACTGGACTGGAAGTGGATTTTCAGTCCTCAGCAGTCTGCTTTGATGTCACATTCCTGTTCTCCTCTCTCTAATTCACATTTTCCATGTTTTTAAAGGTTGTTTCAAATTTGCATAGAGCAGAATGCACTTTCTGATATACAACTGACAAATAAATATATAGAGTAAGATGACTACCACCACAGAACAAAAACAGTTTAATCACCTCAGAAACTTGTATCATGCTGTCATTTTGCAGATCTCTTCTATCTTTACTTCTGACATCTGGCAACTCCACGCCTTTGGCATTGCCAGTATAAGCCACTGTATTTTTGTCATATCATGAAGTCTTGTTTCTCAAGCTTCCCAAAATACACTTAGAATTCATCTGTTGTCACATGTGTCATCACATCATTCTTATTCAGAGATAAAGCTATTAACCCTGCTGTTCACACATTGAACCAATTTTTGACAATTAGGACTAGAGGTACTTCATTAGTATATACAATTGTGTGTGAACCCATGTTTTCATTTGTTGAGTAAACACCTTGAAGTAAAGTTGCAGAGTCAAATGGTAATCCACCCTTTCTTTACTTTTAAATAAACTACTATTTTCCAGTCTGCCATTGTTTTTTATATTTCCCCAAGCAATTTATTAGAGTTCTGGTTTCTTTCCTTCTTCAACACTTTGTATAATCATTCCATACATTATACATCCTAAGAGATTTATTAATGATATTGCCCTGATGTTTTAATTTGCATTTATTTAATGACTAATGGTGTAGAACATCTTTTCATTTGTTTATTAATCACTTATAGACCCTCTTTAATAACATGTCTCTTTGTGACTTTTGTCCACATTCTAACTAGATTGTTTGGAGTGTATCATCTTTACTGTCAAGTTTTGAAAAATATTTTTATAGTCCATACTCTACCCACTAGTCATTTTTGTGTATGTGATAGGTGGTTTGCAAATATTTTCTCCCAGTTTTTTTTTTCATTTTCTTTGAACTCACTCATAGAGCAAAAGGGTTTGCTCTTGAAAAAGGTCCAGTTTATTAATTTTCTTTAATGATGTATGCTTTTGGGATAATTTCTAAGGAGGCTTCTTTGCTTATCTTTGAATCCCAGAGATTTTCTAAGTTTCTGGAAGTTTGTGCTTTTGTTTTCAGTGTAAATCTAACACCCACATTGGTTAAGTGTTTTGTGTAAGGTATGAAACTTAAGCTCTATTTCTTCTATTCTTCTGACTCCTTTTTTCACATGGAACTCCAATATTTTTAGCACCATTTGTTTTGAAAAGCTGTCTTTTCTCCATTGAATTGTTTTTGTGCCTTTGTGCCTACTTAACCCTATTTCTGGAATCTCTATTTTGTTCTAGTGAGTTCTGTGTCTTCCCTTTTAACACTACCACACTGTTTTGCTGCTACTGCTGGTGTTTTGTTTTGTTTTTATTTATTTTTAAGGTTGTGTTTTAATTACAACATTTCTCCCTTCCCTTTTCATATAACCACTCCTCACTCTCCTTCAAATTTATGGCCTTTTTATTCATTAGTTGTTATTGCATGCATATATGCACTTGTATGCCTATATATAGAATATATATATATATATTACTATACATATATTACTATTTATAAGCCTATTGAGTCCATATAATGTTACTTGTATGCATGTTTTTAGGGCTGATCATTAAGGCAATGGACCACAAATTGGTGTGCTCTTCCCTCGGGAGGGCCACCTCTCCCATGCCCATCTTTACTGAGTCCCCTGTAGTTCTTTGTTGATTACTCTACTTCTGGTTTACTTTTCTTCTGCTATGACAGTTCCCCGATGGTGTTATACATTGAATATCAAGGATGGAGAAGCCACATGTTACTCACCAATGGGCGGAAATTATCACAGCAGCTTAGGCACACGTTGTGAGCTCTCCTGTGACCGGGGCTTTCGACTGATTGGACGGAGGTCGGTGCAATGCTTGCCAAGCCGGCGTTGGTCTGGAACTGCCTACTGCAGGCGTAAGTTGGATGTGAGCATATACTGATGTGTGTATGAGAGAGAAGTCAGCCCGCTGGCCATGGAAGGTACATACCTCAATGTTTTACTCTGTGAAAGTTGAGAATTTTCCATAGGCCTCCAACGGAACCTTTACTTTTCCTAAAATTGTAGCTTATTTTTCTCTGTATGTGGTGGTTACTGTCCAAGTAATATGGGTATTTAAGTCACAGCCAGCCACTATGACTCATAGAATCCAGAAATGTGTGTAGGAGGATAAGACTTGGTCGTGAGAAACTGATGTAGGCCTGGGCTATCTCTCTCAAACTTTCCAAGGATGTGTTCCAGACTCTTTGTCATTTGTGGTCAAGTGTCATCCTTCCTAGCCTACAGCCTCAGAAGGTCTTGCCAGTAAAACTAATCAGACATCTGCTAGTCTTCTCCTTCTCCTCTCCTTTTCCTTATTCTTCTTTTTCTTCTTCTGCTATTGTTGGTTTTTGTTTTGCAAGAGAGGGTTTCTCTGTGTAGCCTTGGCTGTCCAGCACTTGCTTTGTAGACCAGGCTGGCCTCAAATTCAGAGTGATCTGCCTGCCTCTGCCTTCCTGAGTGCTGGAATTAAAGGTGTGCACTGCCATGCCCAGCTTCATTTTCTTCTTTTTTAATTTTTTAAATTTTAATTATATTTTTTCCTTTTATGACTTATTCATTATATATCTCTATTGAAGCCCTTTCTCTCAACTCCTCCTAGTCCCACCCTCCCTTCCTTCTTCCCCTACCCCTGATCCCCTTCCTCTAGTCCACTGAAAGGGAGAATTCTCCTCCTCTGCCATCTGCCCATGGCTCATCAAGTCTCATCAGGACTGCCTGGATCCTCTTCCTCTATAGCCTGGCAAGGGTGCATCTCCAGAGGCAAGTGATCAAAGAGCAGGCAATTGAGCTCATGACAGAGGCAGCTGTTGCTCCCCTAACTCGGGAATCCACATGGAGACTGTGCTGCCAATCAGCTAAATCTGAGGCAGGGGTCTAAGGTCTCTCCATGAATGGTACTTGGTTGGTACAACAGTCTCTGCAGGACCCCCTGGGCTCAGGTCTTTTAGCTTTGTTGGTCTTCTTGTGGGCACCTGTCACCTCCATGTCCTTCTATCCCCCTCTTCCTCCATAGGACTCCCAGCACTCTGCCCAAAGTTTGGCTGTGAGTCTCAGCATCTGCCTCAATTCCCTGTTGGGTGGAGCCTTTCAGAGAACATCTATGGTAGGCTCCCATCCTTTTTCCTCTCTTCCACAACTTCTGGTGTCTATCCTGTTTGCATTTCTGAATGAGATTTAAGTATCCTCCCCAGTGTCTGCCTCGTTTATTAGCTTCTTTAGGTCTGTAGATTTTAATATGGCTATATGGGGATACATATACACACATATCCCAAATCCTATCATCTCCCAAACACCTACTTCTTACTCAAATTCTTTAGCATTTTGGCAGCAGAGATTTGTCTTCCCATATGTGATCAGCAAATACCATTTGGAGGACATCCAAGTGCACAGTGGGTTGCTTTAGGAGCAACACTGGTTGCTTCAGGAGTTCACTCAGCTCTTCCATGTACCTTTGAGTGGCTAATAGGCTAACAGAATATAAACTTAAATGTGTGCACCTGCATATTGCACACCTGTATCCAGATGTGCTTGCAATTCAGAGATAAATCAGATTAATGAGAAAAGAAGCCACAGATGGCCAGAAAGGAGTCACTATAATGACCTTTCAGGTGATAAGTAAGTTGCTTTAGGATTTAAACACCATCATTTCAAAAATGAAGTTGATCTTAACTGACAAAAAGATACAAAGCTATACATTATAAACGTAAAACTAGTCAAAAGCTTAGAGATATTCCCATTTCCATGAGGTGGCTTTTACAGTTGAGTCCTGTATTTAACTTTGATCTTCCTCATGTTTTAATCTATCGTTTTTACTGTCATACAATACTGAGTAAGTAAATCATTTGAAGAGACCAATCTTTCTCCTTGGTTCTGATTTCAAGGGGGACATTTTTGGATATGATATTTAGATAACAAATACAGGGGGAAAGTAAAGCAAAAACCTTCAGGCTTCATTTAGTTAAGAAGTGAACAGAGCTTATATATAATTTTTCATAGAACTAACATTCAAACTTTATGTAGGATTATAGCTTAGACATGCTAAATAAATATGTATGGCTTACTTGTTTCAAGTATCAAGTATCCCAAACAAGACTTATGACAGGCTCACAACTATTCTATGCTGACAATCTTTAAAGCACAGGTTCCACCTTTATTAAATATCACCACACCCTCCTGACTGAATCACAGCTGACTGTGGTATGTAAGTGAGCCTTGGCTAAATGGTGTGTACAGCCAAGGAGCTTTGAGCATTAACCATTGCTGAGGCTTTCCTTAAATTTTCCTGTGAGATAAAAATATTTTACTGATAGAAGAAGAAGAACAAGAACAAGGAGAAAAAGAAGAAGAAGAAGAAGAAGAAGAAGAAGAAGAAGAAGAAGAAGAAGAAGAAGAAGAAGAAGAAGA